GGCCGCGGCCCGAGCCCCCGCCTCGGCGGCATGGTTTTTCCATGGGGGCGGGGGGGGGAGGCGGGGCGATCTTTGGGGCGCATCGGGCGGCCGAGCCACAGATTTCCGGGCCCAGTGCGCACGCCCAACATGGCAGGCGCGGGCGCGCGCGCGAGTTCTCGACCGTCGGCGCATCTGTGAGTTCATACCCCGCCCCGCGCGCGGGAATGGAAACTTGCGTTGCGGTTTCCAATTGAATGCGCGGCCGTCGCAACTGCATCGCATTGCTCTGCGCGCAAAGCGCGCAAGCAGCATGGGGGGCTTTACGTTCTCGCATGAGAAGTGCGCAGAACCGAACCGAACGGTCGGCGGCGCCCGCTCCCGCGCCGCGCGCGAGGCCATCGCGTCAGCGCGGGAGGCTACAAGGGCCTGGGCCGTCGCCCTGGGGCGCGGGCACAGCGCGAGGCCCGCGCGGGTCTCTCGCGCCAAACATGCGCAACAAGGTCGGCCCGCCCGCCAGCTGGCGCTCGCGGGCGACGCGACGCCGGCGCCGACTGCGAATCCGACTGGGCCCGGAGGATTTCTGAGAGTCCCGGGAAGGGGCAGCGGGCCGCGATGGCATCGGCGCGGTCGTTGGCGCCCCCCCAGCGCCCTTTCCCCCCTGCAAGCCGACTCCTCCTATCTGTTGTGGGGCGCACCTGGATGGGGTCGAGCTGCCGGGCTACGGCCATGGCAGCCGGGGGCAGCCAGGCGCCGCCGGAGGCGGCGGCGGCTGCGTGGGCGGGAGACCCTGCAGCCTCGACCGCGCAGTAGGTGCTCGATGCTTTGCGCGACGTGGCCGCGAGCGGAGCTGGCCCAGAGACGCCCTCAGGAGTTCGAGGCTCGAGCGGAGGCGACGGCCCAGCAGCGGGCCGGCGGCCGTCGCAGCTCCAGCAGGCGCCGCGGCAGCTCCCGGCGGCGGGGGCCACCGCAGCCGCAGCGCAGCCGGAGCTTCGCAAGTGGGACACCATTGACGCGAACTTGTTTGCCAAGCCGTCTCTGTTCAAAGGGGGGCGAGGTGGCGTGGCCCGCGTGGTCCTCCAAGCGGTTCGAGCACGTCGCGACCCTGGGCGGCGACCACCACCGGGCGATAATCGTAGTCGGCCGCAAGACAGCGAACGACGTCAGCAACGACGCGTCCAACATCGTGTTCCCGCAGCTGGTCGGCGCGTCGCGGCAGCCGTGCAACGCGGCCGCGCCCTGGAGGGCATGGCCTTCGCCGCGCAGTGCCCCGCCCCGAAGGGCGAGGGGCTCGCGGCGCAACGCAGGTCCGCGAAGGGGTTCGAGCCGGATCAGCCAGCGCCGACCCTCAGACGCATGCGGAAGCTGATGGGCCGGGCATTTGGAACCGCTACACCCGAAAAAGATGCGAACGACTTCGAGGTGGCGATGCAGATTTCGAGGTGGCAATGCGGCGCCCAGTGACATCAAGGCAGCGACCGCGTCGGCTGTCATCTAGTCACGAGGTCTGCAGTCTCGGTCGACGGCGAACGCCGGCACGCGGGGGGCAACGAAATGGGATCGCGAAGCGCGCGGAGAGCGCCCAGCGAACAGGCAGACGTTTAAATATTCAGTGCAAATCGCAGCGAGGGCATCAGCCGGCGATGACGACCCTGGAGGACGGCGGCGCGAATCAAGGCACAGGCAAAAGGTTGCAAGGTTGGGAAATTAAAAAGGAGACTACGGCGGCGAACCAGGGAAGGGCCGCGAATGCGAGCGCCGACCCGACAGGCGCCAGGCGCAGCATCAGCAGGGCGACGGAGGCAATGATCCGATGCGTTCTGGCGGCCAGAACGCAGAGACACGGGCGCGCAGGAAACGCCGCCAGAACGGCACATTCGCCCAGAGTTGCCCGACGATCGACCCGAATATTACAATAGCGAACAGCACCCGCAGGCGCTGCTCAGGCTCGGAAGCAGGCGGCGCGGGAAACGCCGCGCCCGCCGTCCAATGAGCGGTGCGTTTCACCGATCAGGCGTCGGAGCCAGTTAATAGGATGTCGACGCTGCGGGCTACCGGCGCTCGAGGCCCGCGAGGCGACGACGAGGGCGAGTGCGCCGCGGTGGGGTCGGGGGCCTATCATGCGACGTGCCCGCGCAGCCGCGCGCCCGGCGCGGTCTTGCGCGGCCCGCCGCAGCACTGCGACATCCGAGCGGCGGACAGCAGGCGATTCCGACGCTGCGCGGAGAAGGGCGCGGCCGCAGTGGGCATCGCGCGCCAGGTCGCCAAGGCGTCGTGCCCGTCGCGGGGGCCGCTGACGCTTGCGATCGTAGACGCTCGGCGCCGCCTTCTCCGGCGGGCTCGCCCGCCGCGCCTGGCGCGCACGGCGATCCCGAGGGCGCGCTTGATATTATTTTGATATGGGAACCTCTTCTGGATGTAAGGGCACGTCGCGGTGTAGTTCGCGGCGCGGCCCTTGATGGCGGGGCTGAATCCAGCGCGCGCGCGGGGGGGCTCGCGGCGTTGGCGCCCGCGGCGATCGGCCACCCATTGCGCGACGCAGCTGACCCAGACGTCGAGACCGCCGGGGCCAAGGTGGCGCCGGGTTTACCCAGCCAGGGGGAGAACGAAAAGCATTAGCCATGTAGCTAAATAAATTGCCGCCGCGAGGATGGCGCGACCTGCGCGCCAGCCAAGACGGCGGGCGATCCGCGCCGACAGAGCGGCGGGCCTGGCAGCATCGACGAGGTCTGGATGGAGCCACCTGCAGCTCGGAGCCGGCGCAACCGTCGAGGTGCTCGAAGCCTCGGCCATCGTCGAGCTGAGGCTGGCCGCAGCGGGTCAGCAGCAGCACCGGGCCGCGCTGATGCCGCAGCCAGCGCCAGCCAGGTTGCCCGGGGCGGTCGCCGCGGTGCTTCGCCTTGGGGCGTTCACGGCGACGCTTGCATCGCCGAGGGCGCGCCGGCGAAGCTCGTCGCGCCCGACGTGAATTCGTGGGGGTGCACACCGAGATAAGGAAGCTTTGGCGAGTGGGTCCAGGGGCCACGGGCGGCAGCAAAGGCGACTCCTCAAGCGGCATATAGTGGCTGGAGCGTCCGTCTCCTCGATTCGCGCGGAGAGCTGGCGGCGCGCGCGCGGGCGACCTGCTTGCGCCCTCGGACGCGCCGGCGGACGCGGCGAAGGCCCAGATGAGCACAGGCCCCAAAGCGACGGGTGCCCCAGGCGACTGTCGATGGCGGGCGGTGCGCCGGCCGATTTGCCCCAGGGCGCGCCGCAGGTGCAGTTCGCCGCGAAGATGGCGACGGCCGAGGCTTCGATGCCGATGCCCCTGGCGGAGGCCAGGCTGAAGCGAGCGGTTCGATGCTTGGCCGGCTGCGCGGTCGCGGAGTGACACTGCCTTGCGAGGCGCGCGCCCATGGAAGCGACGGTCGAGGCCGACGCCCGTTGGGCAGGAGATTCATGCGCGAAGACCGCGCAGTGCACGGTGATCTTGTTCGGGGGCAATTCCGTCGATTCAGGGGTGAGCGGCGACGTCGGGCGGCGCGGCCGAACTGCTGTCGCGGCATGCGCGCGCGCATCCAGGGCCTGGACGCAGGGGCGCGCGAGGACGAAGGAGCTGAAGGCCATCGAGCTGGGCGCGCCGGTGAACCAAGCTGACCATGGGACGATGCAGTTGGACGGCTCGAGGGTCGACTTCTCGATGAATCGCATGGGGCTAGCAGCGAGATTGCGCGCGGCTCGTCACGCGGGCAACTCCACGGCAGCATTGCCGCGATTAGTCACGACGGTCGTGCGCTTGCATGGCGCAGCGGCAGAGGCAGAGCCCGCGGCGATCGCGTCGACGCTAGACCATGGCAGTGCGAGGCGATCGGCATCGACATGCCGCCGTTCCGTTTCATGCTGATCTGCATGGCGGGGGCCGCGGCATCGGCGCGCTACCTCGCCATGGCGCGCGCGAAGGAGCGCGAGCCCCGCGGCGGGGGCGACGACCAGGCCAGGGTGGGCGCCGACGACGGGCTGGACAGCGAGGCGAGCGGCGAGCGGCACTCCGCGGAGACCGACCACGGAAGTCGCCAGCGGGAAGTTCCGCGGAGGCGATGGGATGGCCGTTGGGAGGGTCCGTGGACGCGATCGTGCAGGCGACTACGGGAGGGGCGAGCAGCAGTCGCCCTGAATATCATGGAGTGTGGGAACGAGGTGTTATAAGGAGCGCCAGCCAATGCCGAGCATATAGCCGTCCGAGACGAGCTGATGCGGTGCACGGTGGTGGAGCTGTAGGCGGCGCTGAGGGCACGGGGCCTCTGTTCGGCAGGCTTGTAGGCGAACCTTGCCAACAGGCTGCCGCGGATGGCCACGCCATCCTGGTCCATTATAGGCCTTTGGCTAACGATCGGCGACCTGAGCGGGCAAGCAGCTGCAGCGACGACGGTGCGGGAAGCTCTGCACGGCAGGACGATGAGGTTGTGCTGCACGAATGCATGCACATGCGTCAGGGTGCCTCGGGGCGCGGCGAGGAATCGTGCCAAAGGAACGGGTGCAATCTGCACATGCATCGCAATCCGCTCGGCTTGTGCGAGGACCGCGGGGGCGCGCGCGAACACGCGCGCGACTTCCGCCCAGGAAGCCATCTTTAAGGCATCCAACGCCCAGGGCGAACTTCGATATACGTAATGTTCAAACCATGAGTTTCTTGTGGAGAGATCTCCTTTTAATTTGATGGTTACGGGGGCTTCTGTGGACTACTCGGAAGCTGCTTGAAGTTGCTTTGGGGCGGTGTTGGGGCTTCTTGATGGCATATGGGAAACGGTACTGGTAAATATTTGCCAAGCCTTCTTTGGCCTGGGCAGGTAGCATCTGATATCACCGCGATTTGGAGCGGATGGCCGCACCTTCCGAACCACGTCTGTTTTGCCAGCGCGTATACTCTCGGCCATGCTTCGGAGACGAGCATTCGTTGCACACGCGCGTGCAAGGGCATTTTACGTTTCCCCCCAGGCTGTTTGGATCCAACCAGACTGGCAAGTGCAGCGCCTGGCGATCCGAAGTCGTTTCGGCCCAGACATGCGCGGTTGAGGCCAGGGTTCGCCTAGTTTGGGAGCCGCAGCAGATGCCCCCGAATCTCTTGTGGATGCGGGTTGCGGCCTTCCTGCCGTTCCTGGCCGTCCTCCCAGCACGCCCGCCTCCAGACCCCGTGCCGCGAGACCGGGTAGCCATTATCGGTGCTGGAATCGGCGGGGCCTCGACCGCCTGGTTTCTCCGCGACGCGCCTCTGGACGTCACCGTCTTCGAGGCCAACCGCGTCGGCGGGCGGGTGCACGAGACGCGGTGCTCGAAGAAGAATATTCGGTACAAGCATACAGTGAAAGTTCATGGTAAGGATGACCGAGTTCCCGATGGTACCCTTGCATCCTTGTCTCTTCGGTCATATCCGGTCCATCCTCAACAAGTTTCGATGGCCAGCCCCGCTCGAAGAGCCTCGGCAGGGGCGTCCAAGGCCCTTATATCCTTACCGCGCATGCTTACTATCAGTTTTGACTGTAAGCCACTTTGGGAGGGCCTTGCGGGGTTCATGCATCGGCGCTGGACCCTCTCCCCTGGCACGCGGAGCGCGCAGGAGGCCGCGCCGAGGGCGCCGCTAAGGGGGCCCAGCGCCGATCGAAGAGATCCACGCGGACCTCCGAAAGTTTAATTCGACGGCCAGCCCAGGGGGAAGTGAGAGGGGGAGGGTCTTCTCAGAAGGCTCGGAAGTCTCCCTGCCTTCTCGGAAGTTCTCTTGGCCTCCCCCGAAGACTCGGACGACCTCTCAAAAGGCCGGAGGGCTTCTGAGAAGCCCCGCCGCCATCCGAGCAGGTCTTCTCCTTCTCACTTCGCCCTCTCCCTCGCTCGCCGCCGATTTCTGCTTGTGCCGATGTTTCCTGTGCCAGGTTCCCCCAGCAGGAGCCGATCATGGTCGAGGCTGGCGGAGCCGCCATCCATTCGCTCAATCGGTACATGGCCCACTTCATAGACGCGCTCGGGCTGCACAGGCTGGGCTGCTCACTCTGCGATTGGATCCGCTCCGATCCCCAAACTTCGATTCCGATCTCGGTCCGTTCCGATCTGGCCGTCAAGAGCCGAGCCGGACCTCCGATGCCAAACAATCCGATGCCGCGACGATACAAGCGCGAACCGATCCGCTTCCGTGTCGACCCCGTCTTGCGAGTCGATCCAGCTCTGGCCCTACATCGGTATCGTTTATCCAATCCCCATCCTCATCCCCATCGTCTTCGAGACCCCCACCAAATTACCCCCCCAGTTGGGGATACACTGCTCGAAACCCGAAGGGAACGGCCCATATTCCCATCTGGGGGGGTAAATCGGCCACTGGGGCCCAGGCCACGCCGCTGGGGAGGGGGATCGGTTAAACGATACTCACTGCAGGGACGACGGTCGGAGCTCTGGCCTGGGCGCCGCAGGCTGGAGCGGTCAGAGTTCTGGCCAGGGCGCCGCGAGCTGGGACGGTGACCGGCTGACGCCGCTCAGCCCGTGGACTTACCCACTCAGCATCCTGCGCGCCAGGCGGATGGTCACCAACGTCACGTCGATGTGGGAGCGTATAGCCACGAGCCTGCGGCAAGCGCGGACGCCCTGAGAGCCCCAGGGACGCGTCAGTGCGGCGCAGGACGCGTTGGGAGGGGAGAGGGGGGGTGCACGCGGGTGGTCGCGTCGAGAGGAGGGGGGGGCCTTAGCTTACCAGGCAGCACTCTGCATTCTACTCTTACGTCTGAACGTGCCAGGGGGCACAGTGTCGGATACGAGCTGCAGGCCGAGAACGTCTCGTTCGCGGACCCGCGGGAAATGCTCGCGCGTCTCGGGGTCGCAGGGTTGGCGTCGACGAGTGCTGCAGAATGGATGCAGGGGAAGGTGGACGCCGCGTTCCTGCGGGAGTTCGTCGACGGGGTGTCCAGGGTGAACTACGGGCAGGGATCCTCCATCAATGCTTTCGCGGAGGCGGTGTCGCTCGCTGGCGCGGGCCTCGTGGGCTCCTTGTTCTCGGTGAGAGAAGGTAATTCGAAAGTCATGGAAGGCCTGCTCAGAGAGGCTGGGGCTGAGTTACGCCATGACCGCGTTACCGCAGTTCGCGTGGCTGGCCGCGAGGGGTATTCGGTCTGCACTCAAGGCGGCGTCTGCGAGACCTTCGCATCGGTCGTTATCGCCGCTCCTCTGGAGCTCGCGCGGTTAGCTTTGGATGAGTCGCTGCGCCCGCGGGCGCCTTCCCGCGAGTACCAGGTGACCGTGGCGACATTCGTGGCAGCCTCCGGTTTGAATGCGGATTATTTTGGAACAGCGCGTGTGGAGGATTTGGACACAATAATGACAACGAGCAACGCGTCGATACCTTTCAACTCCGTGGCTGTGCACGGCATCTCAGGGGGTCGAAAAGTATTCAAGGTGTTCTCCAGGGAGACGCCAAAGGCCAATCTCATTCGCGACATCTTCGCGAATGCATCTGGGGAGACCCAACAGTTTGTATGGCACGCATACCCTGTGCTGCGTCCATCATCTCCTTGGCCAGCCTTCCGCTTGCACGGGGGCGCCCAAGGCGGTGGGCTTTATTACGTCAACGCCATGGAGAGTTCGGTCAGCTGCATGGAGACCGAAGCGGTGGCGGCTAAGAACGTGGCGTTGCTCTTGCAGGGCGATCTGGAAGGGCAGGCGGCACGTGTTGATCCCGAACCTGGCGTGGTCTACGCGTAGAGTTGTCGAGCTCAGAGTGGCCGGCCTCGGTGCAGGCAGTTGGAGGTTAGACCTCGTTGCCGAGCAGTCGCACGTTATTCAAACAAAGTATGCGGTGGACAATCGTGTTTCCCGCATCGTGATCGTCGATGGTGGGCAAGTTCGCCAGTCACGTCTTCTTGGCTTTCTTGTTCCCCAGTGCACCGAAGCGTGACGTTCTTTGACGGAGTCGCCGCCATTTAGCCCAAAGAAGTTTCCAAGCATCCCCGAGAACGAACTCAAGAGGGCCGCCAAGAACCCCTCTTCAAACGGTCGCAGAGGGCCCGACAGGGTTCTAATACCCGACAGAAACCCGACGATGTCCCCAATTGACGTCCAATTGCCACCCAGTAGAGTTTCCCCATCCCAGAGGCCCTGGACAGACCACGGTCAGCTCTCCAATAAAGATCCAAGCATTGGGATCCGAACCAGCAGGCCAAGTTTGAGAAGGACGATTATCAGTGACTCGGGAAGGACCCCTTCCGCGTATCAGCGGCTTTGGTTGTCTCTCTTGTCTATCTTCTTGGATTTCCTCATCATCTAAGCTCCAAGCCCCCCTTGTGTCCCTTGCCCGCTCCTCCCTCCTATTATCCCTCCTCCCTCATTGTCCTGCCCCCTCGCTCAACCTTCCTCTTTCTTCTCCCTGTTCTTCTCTCTCGCTCCTGCCTCTTCCGCCCCCCGCCGTGCCATTTGTTCTTTCAACCTTGCATTATTCACACGCTTCGGGTACCTCCACCAGCCCATCAAGAAACGATGCCCAGACGAGTTCGCAGTGTTGCCCTGATCAGGGGTGTGAAGGAGCATGCAGTGGAATAAAGGGCTGGGAAAGACGTCATAGCCCAAGAGAGGGAACCATAATCCGAGGAGGGGGAGAAGGGAGAGGGGGGAGAGGGAGGAGGGAGGAGGAAGGAGAAGGAACAGGCGGATGAGGAAGAGGAGGCGAAGTAGGAGGAGGAGGGCGAGCAGAAAGGCCAGAGGCGTCAAGGATGCCTCTCGGAGTCTCTTCGGATGTCGTTCGGGAGTTTCTTGGATTTTCCTTCGGGCGTCTTGGAGGTCTCTTGGCAGTCCCGGGGGCCTCTTGGGGCGTCTTGGGTGCCGCTGGGGGGGCCTCTTGGGGGCCTCTTGGGGGTCTCTTGGGAGCCTCTTGGGGGCATCTGGGGGGTCTCTTGCGGGCCTCTTGCGGGCCTCTTGGGGACCTCGGGCACGTCTTGGGGCCGCCTTGGGGTACCCTTGTGAGCCTTTGGGGACACCTTGGGACCATCTTGGAGGAGATCGATCAATGGAGCCTCCCAGGAGGCCAACATGTGGCCAAGACCTTGTTAACATCAATGACGGTGGCCTTCTCGCCAGGGCCTCTTGGGGCGTCTTAGGTGCCTCTAGGGGGCCTCTTGGGGGCCTCTTCGGGGTATCTTGGGGGCCTAAGCACTTCTTGGGGCAGTCGTGGAGTTGTCGAAGAATCTGCATTTTCGCTGAGGCCATGTTCGACGCGCTAACCACCTCAGTGCCCCGCCCCCCTCCAGGCCCAGGGGGAGGGGGCAGGGGGGAGGAGTCAAGCTACCCATCCGCCCGCAAGCCGTCTAGCTCACTCCCACCCGCCCTCTCAACACATCAGTAACACCCGAGCCTGAGCATGTTCAGCAGTCGTCTTTGGATGGACAGGCACTGGAAACCAAAGCCGACCCCAGGTGCGCGTTGCTTGGGCGAGGTGCGCCACGCGTGCCAGGCGCGCCACGCGCGCCAGGCACCCCAAGGGCCCGAGCGTGCCAGGCACGCCTGGTGCGCCAGATGCGCCACGTGTTCCGAGTGCGCCAGGTGTGCCGCACATTCCAGCCGCGCCAGGTGCGCCGCGTTCGGGGCACGTGCAGAGTGAGTCAGGTGCGCCTGCGCACGTGACAGCACACATCGGGAAAGATGTCGGCCCCCGCCATCCTTATCGAAAACCGATGCCCCTCATTGTGTCTGGTGGGCCTGCGCACGGCAGGCCACGCGCCACCACCCCCGCCGTCTCTGGCAAAAACCACTTGACAACGATCGGGGGATGGCCGCGCATGGTCCAGATTTTGCCGCGAGGTGCATGTTGTATTGGTTTTGTTGTCAAGGATGGTAGCCCTGCGCACAGCAGGGCAGATGTTGACACCCCCGCCGTCCTTGTCAACAACGATACGACGTGCTCGCGGGCCTCACGAACATGACTCAAGACTTTGCCCCAAAGTGTACTTTGCATTGTGGGGGAGGCCGCATCGGGTTTTCTGCGCATGCTCCAACTGTGGAGGCAGAGTGCGGCTTGTGTGTGTGTTTGACAGGGATGGTGGGAGGCGGGTCGGCATGGTGTCGGCATGGTGTCGGGTTTGCCCCCAGTCGCATGGGGGAGGGGGTGTATATTCATGGGGAACAGTGATCCAGACGCTTCCTCTTCCTCTTCCTCCTCCTCTTACATTCCCTTTCCTTATAACGGTTCCCTGTCGCACCCCGAGGTTGGTCGAAAGGGCGGGCCTGGCGTTTCGCTTGAGACACCCTCACCATTTATGATCCTGAGGCCGGAATTTTGGCAACAGGCTGTCGCGGATTGAGGGCGGGTCGTTTGTAAAATGTGGTTATCGTTTTAGCGCCGCGCACATTCGTCTTCAAATTGTGCCAGAGTTATCGCGGATTAAGAGCGGGTCGGTTTCAAATGTGGTTCTCGTTTTGGCGCCGTACATGTTCAAGAGTTCCACTGGTTCTCATGGTGAACGTACCAGACATGGTATTCTGGAGTGATGCAGGATTGGGAGGGCCTAACAGTTACGTTGATTCGCGGTGTTGGCGTCCCAGGAATGGTGCTTTGGCGCGATTCAGGGTCGCCAAGACGTAAACAGTCAGATTGATTCGTGGCGTTGGAGTCCTGAAGATGGTGTTTTGGTACGCTTCAGGATTTTCACACGGTTGTCCCCCAACGGGGCATTTTCTTTCAGTGGACACGACCATCTGTAGGGCATATGAAGATACGTAGCCCCAGTGATCCGATTTTCCAGAGAAATTGGAGCAGGCGATTTTTGGTCGAGTTCGACCTCTGGGGGCCATCGTTAGGCCTTGGGAGCGTCAAAAAACGACAGGATGAAAAGCCGGCCCTGGGAAGTGGTCCAGACTTCAGGGTCCACGCATCGAAAACAATTGAGCAGCCAGATGTCTGGGGCACCCGAGCCGCAGCGTGTTCAGCGGTATTCGTCGGATGGACCGCTAATGGGAACCAGAACGCATGGTGCGCCAGATGCGCCACGTGATCCACGTGCGCCACGTGTGCCGCATGCTCCAGCCGCGCCAGGTGCGCCACGTTCGGGGCCCGCGCAGAGTGTGCCAGGTGCACCTGCACACGTGGCAGTACACATCGGGAAGCGTGTCGGCCTCCACCACCCTTGTCAAAAACTAGTGCGCAATCGCGGCGGGGTGGCCATCATAGCGTCAGGTGGGCCTGCACAAGGCAGGCAATTGCCAGCACCCGCCATCCTAGTCAAAGACCAATACACAGTGATCGCGGGTTGCCCGCGCATGCTCCAGGTTTTGTCTCGACGTGAATATTTGATTGTTTTTGACAGGGGTGTTGGCCCTGCGCACAGCAAGCAATATGCGGGCACCCCCGCCGTTCTTGTCAAGAAACAATACAAAGTGTTCACGCCTCTTGATCAGGACCCAAGATCTTTCTCCACAGTAGACCACACATTGTTTTTTGACAGGAATTGCGGGTGGGGGGGGGCCATCGTTGGTCCTGGTTGGCTGCTGGTCGCCTGGGGGGAGGGGTAATTACTATTAGGGAACATTGATAGCCCCCTCCCCGAAAGGGAAAAAGGGGGGTTGAACCGCTCTAAACCACTCACGCCCAGAGGGCTGGTGGGACTTTCCCTTGCCCATCCTTTGACGAAGCCTGTGCCTGGGCTGGCCAGAAGCGACGCGCACGCGAGAAGGGCGCTTGTGATTCTAGTCCGTGCATATGTGCTGTTCTGGCCTACAGCTGGCACGAGGGTCAAGATCAGCACCAGTGTGCGAAGGGTACCACCATGTTCTTCAGGTTTGGGCTTTCGGCCCTGACACGTGACCCGCTTGGGGTACCTCATGGGGCCTTGGCGCCTCGGCGAAGCGGTTCACGTCGTGCATCCACGCTCCATGCTCCTGTGGCCGTACTTCGACCGTGCTGGGACGGGGGAGCTCGGATGGCGCGGTGCCACGGCCAGCATCCGGCAGCCTGGCCTCGCGGGTGGGAGACACCATCCGTATTGACGGCCTCGCGGTCGGGGCTCCTCGGTCGCGAGCCTGGGGCAGCTGTGCGCGGATGCCGCGCGCGGAACCCATGGGATCGCGCATGCGGAGATCGCGCCTCGAAAGCCAGACCGCGGGGGCATGTACGTGAATCTGCTCGTCGCCCGTGATGTCCTGCGCTAAGAGGGGGACGGCTTGTCACGAGGGCACGGCCAGGGCTACCTGCCCATGATGGACCGGTGCTCGCTGGGGACCATGGTGCGCCCCGGCCCGCGCGTTGGCCCGCGCGAGCGTGCTCTCGCGCCGCGCTGGCCTCGGCGCTCCAGCCCCGGCGCGAGGCGGTCGTCCCTGGGCTCTGCCCCGCTGCCCCGCCTTCCCTTGAGGTCTGGTCTGCCCCCCTCTCTGTGTTTTGGTTAGCTGTTGGGGGATCGTCCGACCGTTTCTGGCTCCGTTGGGAGTAGCCTTAGGCGACTCTTGGCCGGGTTCTTCCCCACCTTCCATCAGTTTCCTCGGCCTTCGGCCGAGGGTGTCCAGGCCAGAAGCAGTTTGTCACCTACAATGGATACAATCCAGGGGTCTCCAGAGATATCCCGGAGAGCTCTGCGCGCACCCCCATTTCGAATGTTACCTTGCGAGGATCCACGTGGAGATCCATTCGAACAAAAGTCAGCAGCATCTCAGGAGGGAAGAGTAGACACAGACACAGGACAGTTGAGGCAGTATGAGAAGTGGCGGGGAAAGCAAAAATCCATAACTTTCTTCTGTGAATGGGAAATCCTGGGATCTGTTTTGATTTCTTTGTGTGTCCCTGAGCTCCTTCACCATCCACTTGATAACCTTGCCGCCACGCAGCGTGCCGCCCTCTCTTCCCTGGCCTTGCGCGGGACGCCCTCGAGCGCGCGTCTCTAGACAGTTGGACCTGGGCACATCCCCAGCGTGGGCCGTTGTTCCCGCTCCTCCTATCTTCCCCAAACTTGTTCTGCCTCCCTCTCCCCCCCCCTTCCCGCCAATGATTCAGTGAGCCCCTTCGCTCCTCTCTTCTCTCGCTCCACGCACCCTGAGAGTCAGGGCACCTCCTCCGCCTCCGCCTCCTCTCCTCCTCCTGCTCCCTCCTCCTTTCCCCCTTGGGGTAATTATGGTTTCGGTGGAGCCGAATTTGCATCGGCAACGCTTGGGCATGTCCCGAAGGTCGGCTGCTGGCTAATTCAGCTCGCCTTCTTAGATTCACCCCGCGAAGCAAAGGTAAAACACAAAGGTTTCCGTTCTCCTCATTGTGCTTTTATGTTGCAGCCATCCCAAATGGGGTCCGAGCAGATGTGGTCGGAGGATCGCGCTGCATCGCCGCGCCGCAGCCGTGTCTGGTTTACCGCCCTCCGCTCCTGGCTGTACTGCCGGCCTTACCGGCCGCGGCGGTCCAGGAGTTTTGCCCTAAGCCCCAAGCCCGTTGTGAGGGAGGAGGAGGAAGAGGAGGAGGAGGATGAGAAGGAGACGGAGGGCACGATCTCTCCTTCTCCTTTCCTCGTCGTCTTGCCCGCTCTGCTCTGTCTTCACGCCGCTTGCTCACCGTACTGGCCTTGCTCGTATCGCTGTTATGGTCGTACGCGCGCGTTCTGCGGACATGGGTCCCTTCCCTTCTCATGTGATACGACGCGGCGATCCCAGTTGGTCTGCGCCTGCACAACGTGCAATGGAGCTGAAGCAAGGGCGGGAGCGGGAGGCCGGAGGGAGGGGTCTGGAGGAGGTCATCGGTGGTCTTCGGAGAACCTCAGTTTCTCAGGCATATTGGGGCACACGAGGCTTTCCCAATGTATCCCGAGGTGTTCTTCGAGGGTGGAGGAGGAGGAGGAGGAGGAGGAGGAGGAGGAGGAGGAGGAGGAGGGGAGGAGGGGGAGGAGGAGGAGGAGGGAGACGAGGATGGAAGGAATTTCAGATTAGATGTCGTTGCTCATCAGCTTGACCTTTGGGGGGAGCAGCCGAATGCAGGAAGCGAGAGGAGTTGGTGGAGGAAGCGGAAGGATGAGGAACACGGAGGGAGGTGGAAGGCAGGGAGGGAGGGGGAGGGAGGAGGAAGAGGGGGTTTATGATGAGGAGACTTGTCCTCGTCTTCCGCGTCCCCTTTCCCCCTTTGAGGAATGAGGGGCAGAATGAATGAGGGGTCGGCATTCTGCACGTGATTTTGTCAATGGCTCGCGCTTCAATGCAGCATCGCTTTTGGACGTGAAGCCCTTCCGGAGCCGTCTGTCCAGAAGTTGCCCCTCTGCTCTCATTCGTTCGATCTGCCAGCATTTGATCCAGTCACCCTCGAGTTGAGATGCAGCGTTCAAGAGCACGAGCCTTGAGCTCCACCCGCCTTCCCACCAAAGATGCAGCACCCGAGTCTCACTCAGCATTTGCAAGGGTCGCCATTGGATGGACAGCCAGTGAAGTCAAAACAGGCGCCGGGTGCGTGATGCTCGCGAGGTGCGCAGCGCGTGTCAGGTTCGCCTCTTATGGCAGGTGAGCCGGGCGCTCCAGGGGTCCAAGCCCTGCCCGTCGCGCCTGGTGCTCCAGATGCCCCGCGGGCTTCACGTTTGCTAAGTGGTCCGCGTGCTCCACCCGCGCCGGGAGCGCCCCGTGCGCCTTGCTCGCGGAGTGTGCCAGGTGCGCCGGTACACGTGACAGCACACGCGCCCGATCGTCGTTGTCAGGGTGCGCACATGTGCAGCAGAGAAGCCTAAAGGTCGGAGTTTGATAGACCTACCCTGACACGTCGATTAGCGAATTGGCCGTGTTCGGTTCGCCAGTCACGGCTGTTATTTTTGCGGGTCCAGGTCCGTCGGTTTCGGTTTTCGGCCGTTTTCACTAAATGGTGGTTTGCCACAGTGAGGTTTGTCCACCGCCGAAAAGGTTTCACCCAAGTAACCATGTACGAGCGCGTGTTTTTGTTTTGCAGTGCAGGTCTGAGACACATGGCTGTAACCTCTACTGAGCAATACTATGTGTGCGCGGTGCGTTTTGTTGCCTGGGTTGCTCGGTTTTGTTTCGCATGCCACTGCGTTTCTTCCTGTTGATTGCATTCGACTCCATGTTTGGAGGAGGGCTCATGGGCAATGCTTGCTGCGCCGATGGAAACCACGACAACGCAGAGGCACCCTATTGCTGGCCAGGGTTCGATGTGAAACTCCGTGTGCCTACTTGCGGAGGAACCAGGCCCACGTGACACTGCAGTGTATAATGACATGAGAGAGCGCAGGAGGCACGGTTGGATTGTGCCATAGGCGCATTTGTGTGAGGGGAGTACGTGATGGTAATATTAGACGGTAGAGAAAGAGAGATAAGGGGTGAAGAGGGAGAGGGATGGGGAGCCAGTGAGAGAGAGGGAGAGGGAGCGAGAGAGGGAGAGACAGATAGGCACAGGCACATCCAGACCGAAACAATAGATGGACAGTCGAATACAGAGAAGAATAACATTCAGCTAAACTTGCGAATGCCAGGACGCGCGCCAAATTTGAGATAGCGTGCAGTCAGGCCGTGCGAGTGTCAGCACAATCATCGCGCGTTTGCCTGCTAGGGCCTTGGAAACAAGCGCATACTAGGGCAGGATTCATGACAAAAACGCTTGGTTGGTCAACTCAGTCGGTGCGGCCAAACAGAACAATACGAATCGGTGGTGGTTGGGTTAGTCTTGGTTCATCTCTAAAGCGCCCTCGGCGTTTTTGTTTCGCGTGTTCTATGTTTGGCGCTTAGCAGGCTGGGAACGCTCAACAAAGGCTATGGATTTGGCCTCTTCAATGCGTTGTTGAAAAATTGTTTTTGCGTTTTGAGGCCGTTCGCTGTAGCTTCCTTGTCGAAGGTTTCTCCTTGCTTTCCCCGCCGTCTTCGCTCCCGCTCTCCTGTTCTTGTTGTAATATCCATAGATGCGGCGGGGGCTGAAAGTGCTTTCCGCGCGCACAGCTGAGAATGGTGAAACAGCGCTCTGACACTGGTCTGACACTGGAGCTCTGGCGATGGAAAAGGACAGACCTGACAGCACAATCAAACACGAATAGTTGTTCGACCGCTATCAGAAATTATGGCGCGACTTGAAAGCGCTAAACACATGATGTCCAACACGCCGAGTTGAAAACAGCAAAAGAGCGCCCAGAGCACATTTGAGATAAATCAAGGTGCTCAGTGGCACCCGACTTACTACAATACTATCGAGGTGTGTATGCGCTTTGTTTCGTTACACATACGTGTCACGGAGTTCATGCGTCTGCAAATTGCGAGGACGAGCCAAGACTCGATGTCAGAGTGGAGCGAGCGGAGCCATAGTTACACCCGTTTTTCCCACGACGGGCTCGCTCGTGTTCCCTTCGCTGCGTATGGCTCTCTCCTCGTTGTGGTCCTTCTCCTCTTCCTTTCCTCCACTTGGTGCAGAAAGAGTGCATCACCCTGGGAGGTGTCCTCGGGCATTGATCACCCTCAGTTGCCACGAGCGCTGTGCCTCCACTCCATTCGCAGCATGAGGAACACAGTCAGGGCTGCTCGCGGTCCGACTTGATCCTCTCCCCGGATTGTCCGGGTCGATCCGATCCGATCCCCAAAATTTGGATTGCGATCTTGACCAGGTCCGACACGAGCCGACTCCCTCGTCTGCCTGCAGGGGCCGAGCCCGATCCCCCGATCCCAGACGATCCGGGCCCGACCCGACTCCGCGCCGGTCCCATCGCGATGCGATCCGTGCTACCTTGAGGGGATGCGCACGGAGGTGTACCTCCTCTTCTTCCTCCTCTTCCTCCTCCTCCTCCTCTCTCCTCTTCCTCCTCCTCCTCCTCCTCCTCCTCCTCCTCCTCCTCCTCCTCCTCCTCCTCCTCCTCCTCTCTCCTCCTCGTCCTCCTCCGCCACCTCCAAACGCACGCGCGCAAGCACAGAACCCACACCACGCAACACACACAAGGCGGTGGCCGATGTTGTATATTCATTGCACTCGGTCGGCACATGGATGATTCAGGCTCGAAGTGCAATGCGTTGGGAAAGTATTCCCGTGCCCACAGCAGGCCGTGATTGAGCAGCGCTCGAAGTTGTCCGACGAGACGGCCAACCAGCCTGTGCAGATACCAGGCCTTCGATATTGCTGCATCTTTGGAACAAAGTCGATTAAGGGTCGCGCAGCAGTTGGTGCCCGAGGGTGAACCCCAGCAGTTCGATACAGGCGTGCGAATCTTGGTCTGGAGCTCATTGGAACCTGCGCCGCGGTGTTCAGACGCAATGCTTCTCGGTTCATCGCGCAGGTCCCTCCGTGGCCTGTTCGAGGTATTCGGTGATACTTGCATTTTTGGGCGACTGTGCTGTTCGGGTTGCCATGGATGCTCGACGAATTGTATGCCACTCTTTCCGCAATCACCCCTTGCTCCCACGTGCAGAAGTCCATGTCCAAGCCGAGGCCGCTTCTGTGGAGAGAGCGAGGGCACGGAGCGGTGGAGATCTCGGGGTCGCCTCGAGGGCCAGAAGAAAGTCAAACGCCTCGATCCACGATGCGGGATGGCGATGGATAGGAGGAGGAGCATTCTAGAATGCGATGACGCCGATGCGGGGGTGCCCTTGAGCGCCAGCCTGAAGCCGCACCGGCAACTGATGGGAGCCCAAATGGATACGAGGCGTGCGACCCTCCGCTGCCCTCCTCGCTGCATGCCAGCGCCTGCGCTCCTACCACTCGCCACAATGTCGGAAGACAAGCCAGAAGATTAGCGCTCCAGATTCTCAGCCAGTCCGTGTGCCAATGCGGCCGGGAGAGGGAACCGATGAGGAGGGAGAACATCCAGATGGGTGGGAGAAGGTTCGCATGCGAGGAGCCCTCGACGAGTCCCAGGGCGACGCTCCGTCAAGATAATGGGCGCCCTCTCCTCCTTGCTCCTCCCCCGCCATTACCTCTACTACGGGAGTTTTAACCCCCGTCCCCCCCGATAGTCCCACTAGGCAACACGGCAGCCCACAGGAGGAGGAGGAGGAGGAGGAGGCGGGAAGAGGAGAAGTAGGAGCACGAGGATATTACCACATATGTAGAAAATGGTAGTTTTCCTCCTTGGTCTGGTCCGTTCTGCCCTTGTCTGGTATGGACCTGTGTAGTCTGGTCTGGTCTGTTCGGGACGTGTCGTTTTGTCACAGAGTGTGTGTGTGTGTGTGTGTGTGTGTGTTTGTCTGGCCAGGTAGATGAGCAGAAGGAGGGCTGAGGATGAACGTGAGGAGGGGGGGAGCGGGAGGAGCAAGAGAGGGATGCACCCGGCGCCCGTATTCTAGATGACCTCCTGGGGCTCTCTTCGGGGGCCTTCGATGGTCAATCAGGCTGTCTTGGGAATCCCCAGGCCACTAGGGTGAAGGAGACCATGGCGGAAATATACCCCCTTGGCGGGGGGGCGCACTGGCGGCAAACATCAGAACACCGATGTGTTACTAGAATGGTAAATCCTTTGTAGGTTGTACGCACGTCGTGCCATTTTTGCTCTACCGTTTCTTCCCAGCCGGTGACGATGCAGATGTTTGCATTCGTGTTTCTTCGCTTGTGTCTCTTCGCTCCCCGGCTCCCGTGTGAGGTGCCACTGGCCGTCTGGAGGCCTTGGGGGGGTACACACGCACGGAGCGACCCGCTGTGTCTCCCGGGCCGTCGCTCACACGTGCGTTCGCCTGTGGCACGTTGGCCTGAGTGGCGCTTGTGGCCTCCTCTCGCTCTTTTGGTTTCTGGCTGTCTCCAGTTGGCCGTAATGCCTCGACAGGGAAACGAACTGCCCAAAAAGGCGTGCGCCCAGAGAGGGCAAGATGGGATAGGTCATCTCCGAAGATGGTCTCGAGCATTACCCCAATAGCCCCGTCAGACGGCTCCAAGGCGGCCCTGGAGCTTCGAAGGATGCCTCTCAGACGGCAACCTGATAGGAAAGACACAGTGCTTGACATTGTGTTTGCGTTTTCTCCGTTTCGGGGTCCGATGCTTCTCTAAGGCCCCCTCATGCTCCCGGCACGACCGAAGAAAGCCTTAAGGGATCACAAAGAGGGCCCTCAGATCCGTGGCTCTGTTGATCGGGATGACATGCGTTGCATACCTCGAGGTGTCTCCAAAAACGAAGAGGATCATTTCTTAACCAAGGTTTCCTATGACAAGATTTTGACTGCACGTGCTGGAGGACTACTGAGGAAGCCCCTTTCCCTGCACTGGAAGGCTCGGGAAGATCAGCGCGGGAATACGCAGTCCCCCAGGCCAGCCGCCGCCCGGAGTGCAAGCGGTCTATCAGCTCCTCGGGTTGCCAGGGCGTGCAGTGCGGGGCCCTTCAGGGTGGCTTCCGCTCTAGTGGACTCTTCTGTTGCTTGTGCGTTTCCCTTTTTTCTCCCTCTTTCTCTCTTCCTCTGCTCTACTGCTCCGCTGCTCCCCTTCTCTGTGCCGCTTCGCTGTTGTTTTGTGCGGTCTTGTCTTGAGCGAACCTCGGGGGTCGAAAGCTTCGGAGCGGCGAGCCCCTGGCACGCCCTTTGCCCATCGTTGACATGAGGACGCTGGGCCCCCACCAGGGGCGCAAATGTGACCGTGCTTCCCTCGAAAGCTGGCAGCAGGGGCCTCTGAGCCGGCCTACTTAAGTGGGGGGACGCAAGGGCGTGAGGATAATTGGACGTCGGGTATCGCGGGGCGCGACATACGAACCCAGGTGGCCCCGAGGAGGAGGGGGCGGAGTAGAGTGGTTAATTCCATTCGTTCTTCTCAGCCGTCCTGGCACGAGACCAGCAGGCTTGCATCGCAGTTGTCGGCTGATAGGTTCCAGCAGCACCTCTGGCCACAGTGCGCGGTCGCACCCAGAGGCAGAGGGTTTGGAGGATCTCTTGCTCCGTCCCTTGCCGAGGCCAGCCAGGCCTTCGTGGGAGCTGCAGCGCGACGCAGGAGGCTGCACGCAAGAGCTAAGAGCTGAGCAAGTGCAGAAGGACGGTTGGAACGGGGGGGATGGCGGGGGGAGGGGGGATGGGAGGGGGGGGCGAGGGAGTCGAGTCCCCGTCCTCATCCTGACCAGCTCCTGCCGTCCCCCTGGTCAGCCGTTGCGCCTCCCACCCTGCCCAGCGCTGCCCCGGCCTCTGCGGACCATCCTCCGGCCCTGCCCCCGCCGCAGGCAAGAAGCTGGAGAACACGAACGCGGCAAAGAGCGAGCTGCCGGGCACAGAGTTCACGATGGTCATCGACAAGACGACCGGGCGGAAGCTCGGCGTCGACGTGGACCACCAGGCGGGCGCGAGCCGCCAGCGCCCCCTGCCCCCCTCGACGGGGGTGTCAGCTCGAGGTGCCCCGCCGAGCGGGGGAAGCGACGGAGGGCCCTCCAGAGGGCTTCAACGAACGGCTTGGCCATCGGTGGCGGTGGTGGTCGCTGCTGCCCGTCGCAGTGGCAAGCTGCCCGAGCATGCCTGCATGCCGGTCGTGAAGAGCAGGTGTTACTGCGTACCCGGATCCCAATTTGCTTCAGGCGCCTGCACGTACTCCAATCGCCGAGTGGTTCCACCTGTTGTTTCCTCCTCCGGGGACGGACGGCGGAAGCCCAATCTTGTTCTAACGTCTTCCTACTTCATGTTTCTACCCACTTCTTCCCACCGATGGGCAACCACATCGTAATCTACATGGGAGTGAGCCAGTTCTGCAGACTGTCCGCGAGGGCCGCCCCCGCGCCTGCGAACCAGCGTTCAGGATTGCGGGATGGCGGTTGGGAATCATGCTTGATCCCTATCTCGATGTTTCCACATCTTCCTGCGTACCTACTCAACCACCAGTGCTCCAGCCACCCTTGATTGAGGTTCGGGGCGTATCAAAACATGTTTCAGGAGTGTTCATGTTGACAGGTGCCGCGGACGAGCCCGAAAAGCTGCTGTGAGGCTGTGAGAGGCCCGTGGACGACCCTCAGCCGGGCGGAAGCCATCACGCTCCACTCGGCTCTGTGAATCTGAAGGCTCCGACGTCTCGGCGAAGCTGTGCCGGCGTCAGTCGGCGGCGAGCTCATGGGTAAGTGAGAGGGGGCAGCCTCTCGCAGAAGGCGGCGGGGCTTCTCAGAAGCCCTCGCGCCTTCTGGGAAGGCGTCCCCGACTTTGGAGAAGGCTCAGAAGACTTCCAGAATGGCCCAGAAGCCTTCTGAGCCTTCTGAGAAGTCCCGCCCCTCTGATTCCATCCCTGGGCTCGCCGCCGGCTCGGGAATGGAGAAGGCCTCCAGGTCAAACATCGAGCCGATCGGAGCCGCATTTGGAACAGGACCGCGTGAGTCTTGGGCACGTCTGACGGATGGTTGAGCCCTGTCATCGTTTGCTTCCCTCGGGGGGTACCTCTCTTCCCCCGTTCTTCCCTTTTCGTGTTCGACTGTGGCTTGCAGCCATTTTGGTGTAGGCGTGAGTCCGAGGGGTCACTGAGGTGACGAGCGTGACCTTCTGATTCACAAATTTATCCTCCCACAGTCCTTCCTGTCTCCCAGAGCCCCCTGACCCGTGGCAGTGGTAAGCGGAGCCCGTGGTTGACGAGTGGCCTGTTGCCGAGGTGGCGAGTTATTCTTCAGAACGGTGGCGCCCTGCATCTTGGTGCCCCAGGGTGTGCGTGCTGCCGTCGGCATGCCGACGGATGACGCGGCTCGAACGAGAGAGTCAGAAGTGCTGACGGATGAGCAGCAGGAGTTTGAGATCATAACACTTGGGCGCAGTGCTACTCTTGGGAAGAATCCGGGCGGGACAGGTGGTACGAGGACGGTTGGGTTACCGACTGGCGGAGCGGGTGGGCCTCGGACCGGGCAGGCGGCCGGCGGTCGTCAGCGGACCAGCGCAGTCGCGACTGCGGCCCGCCCCCAAGCTTCGTCGGTTTGGAGCACCTGGCGCTGTACTCAGAGAATTCGAGGGCCTGGACTCGGAGGACAGGACATTCGCTGTCGACGCAAGCTTCTCGCGTGATCGAATCGCTGCCAGTGGGGCTGCAGTGAAAGTTCCAGACGGCGAGGGCCACGCTGGATAACGATTTCGGGGTCGAGAACCTGATATCGCACATGTGCGGTCTCCACGGCGAGCGCCCTCGGGACAGGGGCCGGATCTCTCACTCACTCGCGATGTTCGACTACATGATCAGAAAGGGGGAGACGATCACCGACTGCGTCCTGCGCAGGGACGCGCAGCTAGCCGACGCGGAGGCACGGGGACTTGCGCTTCCAGAAAACGTCCGAGCCAGGTAACCGGAGGAGGGGGCGAACCTCTCCGCGCAGAACAAGATCAACATGGGGTCCCTGGCAGGCGGCCGGCTCGATGCGAGCTCGATCCGTGCAGTTTTCCTCCAGCTGGGCGTCACGGAGAAGCTCGCCCTCCCCGCCGCCCCGCCGCAGATCGCGAAGGCGTTCCTGGCCGACGAGAACTTCTCGGCCCCGCAGATCAGGACACGCTTGGTGACGACGATGAGATTGGGCTTCCAGAGGGCGATGCCGTAGCACTCTTGGCTGCCATATATGCTCAGGAGCATGGCGAGTTCTAGGCGCCAGATGTCTTCGCGGCCGCTCCGGAGGAGGAGCTCGGCAATGGAGCGCAGGCTCACTTGGGCGGAGTCTCGGCAGCTGAAGCTGGCGCAGAAGACTCGTCGTGAGTTCTGTGATCGGAGACAGGCGGTTCGGTCTGGATTCAGAAAAGTCTGTGAGAAGGGTTTTCGCAAGAAGAGTCGCTGTGCAAATTGTGGAGACAAGGGTCACTGGGCTGATCAGTACAAGGAACCATCTACGAACAAGGCCGGTCGGTTGGCCCGCGAGAAGGAGGGCAAGGCGTCAAAGCCAATCTCGGGGTTCACGTACTGCTTCGTGAACGAGGACGGGGGCCCCCGTGCGTCGTTGAGCCTAGTCTCGGACTCAATCCTAACTGATTGGAACCAGAAGATCATGCAGCACTGAGGAGGAGGTCTCTCGCTGGCCACGGTCGCGTTGAAGAAACCAGGCGCCCGCGCGCTGGTCGACGCGGCCGCTGGACAGGCACTGATTGGGGAGGTCAACGCTGAGGAGCTGGACCGAGCGCTGCAGGCTCACGGGTTCAGGATCCACTTCGACTGGAGCCCAGCGGTGGGCGTTCAGGCCTCTGGAGCGAGCGGCCGCGCGGTCCCGATCGGCAGAGCGCGGGCCCCCATCTCCCTCGGAGGCCGCGGGGTCGTTGAGTTCCTGGTGCTGGAAGGCTCGCGCCCGCCCCTACTTCCAGCGAAGTTCGCGTCCGCTCTCAACGCGATCATCGACCTCTAGAGGGATTTGATGACCGTGCGAGTGGCTGGGAAGATCTCGGGGGTGAAGCTGGCACCCCACCCCTCGGGCCATCGTTCAGTCGATCTCGTTCAGCGCCCAGCCAGCGACTTCCCCCTGGCCCCCGAGATCCAGCAGAAGATGCCGGTCAGCCAGCTGCCGGTAGAGGACCGCTGGGGTGGGGGGGGGGCGGAGGGGTAGACAGGTTAGCGCTTCAGCCCAGTCAGTTCTCACCCCGCCCTTTTTCGGGGGAGCGTAAGACCCGGGTTTGCCGGGACTCGGGTTCGCCATCGTTTTTTGACGACCGCGACTCGGATTTTGACGAGGAGGAGTTTTGTGGGATGTCTGCAGCGGGAGACCTCGTCAAAATGCAGGCTCGGCCTCGTCATTTTTTTGACGACCTCGTCGGGGATTTCCGAGTCCCCCGTGCCCGGGTCTTACGTCTCCCCGACTTTTCTCTCCCCGGAGTATCCTAACCCCCAGGGCGCGAATATCTGGAGTTCTCGGCTCAGCCTGCTTCGAAGGTCTCATCTCAGGGGGGGGGGGGGGGGGGGCGCGCCCGGCGGCGCCCGATCCAGCGGGCAAGCCAGGCCGCCTGGCAGCGCGGGGCAAGCCGCCTCATGTCAGCAGCCGTGCGCGGAAGGCGCCGGCCAAGAAGGTGGATTCAGACCTGGGCAACCTGCGCGAGGGGACCCGCCATGCGATGGGGCGCGGAGTGACCGACGTCGAGATGGAAGATTGGGAGCAGCTGTCGAAGACCAAGTTCGATCCGCCTGTCGAGGAGGCGCTGGAGACGGGGGCCATGACCGAGCTTGAGTCGCAGTGGTTTCTGGGCGGCTACAAGGTCCTGACCCCGATGCTCTGCTGGCGCCGGGCTGTCCTTCGCCCCCTCTGGCACCTCCTCCACGCGTGCACGCAGAAGGTCGTAGCTGTCTCAGTGATGCCAGCCGCAGTCAAGGAGTCCGAGGACCCGCAGGATTGCTTTCATCCAGCGCACTCGAAGTGGTTCGGCTCCAACCAGTTCGGCCAGCGCACGAAGTGCATGGCGCGCAAGATCCAGCTGCCGCGTGTCCCGTTCACCCCAAAGGAGCTCGAGGAGAGGAGGGTGGCCAAGATCATGCAGGCGATCGCCGAGGGCCGCGCTCCCGGAGGGGTGCTGCCGGCGGTTGCGGAGGGCCCCCAGGAGGGCACTGGCGCGCGAGTGAGCTGGCCGGCGGCCATCAGGGGAAGATGGTCCACAGCGGGCTCCCCGAGTTTCCCTTGCCTCAACTCTTCAATCGCGCCCGGGCGCGACGACGCATCCGAGGGGCTCCCCGGGAGATCCAGAGATCCTTCGGCTCGGATCTCCCCGCGCCTCCCACTTCGCCTGGCGCGTGCTCTAGGCAAGGGTGGTTTCCCACCGGGCTCGACCCGCAGGGTCGAACTAAGTTCCCCACGGCCTTCGCGGTGGCCGAGTGCGGAGGCGAGACCGATATATCCGCCCCCCCCCCCCCTTCCGAGGTGGGTCGAGATCAAGGGTCGCATCCTTGTCTCGGGTCTCTGGGCAGCCTCGGGGGCGCGGAAGATGGCTCAGGCAGTCTCCTGCACTCTAGCGGCAGTTCTCGACGTGCCTTTCCGGCGCGAGAAGATCCGAGGAGAGGCGAAGGGAGGAGCTGAAGCGGAGAAGGGAGGGAAGGGGGGAACAGGAAAGAAGGTGGGGGAGGTCTCAGACGGTCTCCTGGATCACGCGCAGCCGTCGGTTTCCCGAAAGGCGCGACAGGCGGCCGCCCGGGCCCTAGATGGCGCGCGTCTTCGCTCGGGGCGTCGGGCTCGGCGGAAGCTAATTCTCAGGGCTGAGAGGAGGAGGGGGGTGCTCTGGCCTGAGAGGTCTTCAGTCCGGCTAAGGTCACTGCCGAGCTGGAGCGACGGGGCCACAGGGTCTCGGCCCGCTCGATCTCATCATGGGCACTGATCTCCTCTTTCCTGTGGGCCAGGTCAATATGTGGAGGCAGCTCGAGGC